CGAAAACCAACCGTGAAAAAAATTCCTGTCCTTGAAATTTTAAGAGGTGTTTTAAACCGCTTCCAGCAATACTGCATGCGACGTATTCTGAAAAAGGAAAAACGGATGAAGGACGAATGGAATGGGTCTGAAATGGAAGCAGTCAAAAATGGTCACACCTCATACACCGGTGTTTGGTCCGCTTTGATAACCTGCCTTAACACAATGAAAACTTGTATAACAGTCCACCGCACAAGTCCGCTTGGCGGAAGGTCCTCTGTTCAGCGATCTACAAAACTGAGTGCCGTATGGGCGGGGGGGGGATGACTGAAAGGCAAACATGAATTCGTTTGCATAATTTTATGCAAGGAAAAAAATTACCGCTTATGTGAATCTTTATGCAAAACTCTACGCTCAGCTGATGATTTTTCTCCTATCGCACCGATCCTTCTTGTTTCGCAATGAGAGCCAGTCCTGCATGGGCGTTCAACGAAATTCCAAGAAGTCACTGAATGTGCCAGCAGCACTATCGCTTGTGGACACGGAACTGGAATGCCAACTTTGAATGGTGAAATGGCCAAACGGAATAATTGAAAAAAGGAAAAGCTTCTAATAATTAGGATTTCGGCTTCCCTTGCACTTTCATGATTCGAGGGAGAGGTGACATTTAAGACGCCTTTCCATTCATGAAATCAATGATGGAACGCTGATCTCCATTTCCATGTAATCAGTCATGGTTGCTTATTATAAAAATAAAATCAATAGTAGATAGGTGCAGTATGCTGTTTCCTTCCAGCAGAATGATACTCATTTATCAACTTCGTAAGGACGAAAGGCGAGTGACCCGACCAGAATTCAAATCCGAGAGCTCTCGGTTGTTAATCCGACGCCTAATGACTTTGCAAACCAGAATATTAAAAGAGCTATCAATTCAAAGACCCGTTTTATCATGCCTCCTCGCAAAATACACTTTTTTCACGGGAACCGTTCAACTATCAGACATCGACTGGAAGACAGCACTCAATAATCTCCTATGATAAAATAATTTCGAACTACTCTAATACTGATCGATACTGAATTTCTCTGATGGAGAAATCTGGATGGATCTCGTCTTTCACGAAGCGTATGTTGCAGCACTGCCCCCCCCCAAAAGCCATCTTCCAACAATGATTTATTTGTACATGTAATTATATCTTTGAAGCATATAGTATATATAATCTGCTGCATTTTTCTTCATACATTATTATTCATCTGTGTAACTCAGTACGGGATGAAGCCCAGACATCTCAAATCTTCGAGTTATGTGATCACGAACATGGTATCATGCCAATTCCATTTATAATTTGAGACAAAGAAGCTTCCCTGGAAACAGCTGTTATATTCTGACAGACAGAGCGAAAATTCTTTACTCAGTTTTTGAATAAGTCCTCATATTCTGGAACATACATATTGAAATTGGCAATTACCAACCTGAGGGATCTCACTCATGTGAGAAACACTAAAGGGTATTTTGCCTACTTTGAAGACATGCTATTAACAACAAGAGGTAGAATGGCCAAACGCTTATAATCAGCTAATAAAGCATATCCATCGATGAGAAGGACACCTTGACTTTAGGCTTAAGGAATTGAAGCCATTATTTATTTTGATCCAGAGAGAAAGTTCGGCGAAATCTTGTCCTCCTGCTGCCCTCCTCAGAACAGAAAAACCGGGACAGAAAAACCGTGGGAGAAAAAACTCTTATATATTACACATTCGGGAAAGAAGGCAGCTTTCAAAGTTCGCAAGTGACTAAAAAATTTTTCTCGACGACACATCCATCCTGCACAGGCAATTCATCCGTCCATATTGCTTCACTGCAACTAACCCAGCAATGAGTATCAAGTAATTGACATCAGGAACAGCATGATATCCTGGTGAGATCGTACCA